AAATTAGTTGTGTTGTCAAATGATTTAGTTGTATTTAAGGATAATGCATGATAGATGAAATCATAGATACCTATAGTAAAAATAATTACATGTTGATATAAAATATATTATGATATCCTTTATATGTCATAAAAAATTCACTTGATCAACCCCGAATTTCAATGCAATATTCAATAAGAAGCTTTCAAAATTTCATTCAAAATTATATAAGTTTAATTATAGTCAAATTGAACATCTTGATGAGATGAATCTATTAACATTGAAAGTGATTTGATCCAATTACAAATGAGCCTAAATCAGCCATTTGAGAAACTTTGGAACATAAATTGGGAGAACCAAATGATCTCTAAATGGGTATTTCTTTACGGCCAATTCTTTGTGCATACCGCAATCATATTTGGAGACAACAATTAATAAGGGAAATATACAGCGACGGGCTTGCAGCTCATGTGGGTCGAGACAAAACTGCTACCCAAATTCAGAAACAAGTTTAACATTATGTACACTAAAGTTCTTAACCACTTAATTGATCTTGAGTAGTCATACCCAAATGCCAAAGCCAAGCTGCAGCAAACATTGCTACACTCTTGAAGGAAATGTTACAAGAAGTTCAAGCAAAATTACAAACATCCACAGCACACTACAAAGCTCAGGTGGATCTCCACTATCGACAACAACTCTTCCAACCCGGCGACCTAGTCATATTGAGGCTTTGCAAGGAATGATTCCCTACATGCACCTACACCTAGCTCAACCCACACAAAATTGGACCCGTTTCAATTCTGCGTAAGATCAATAATAATACTTATGTAATCGACCTACCTGCTGATTTTTCAGACTTCTTCCACCTTCAATGTAGCAGATATATCTCCTTATTCCCCGCCCCATGAGGCCACCACTACCTTCAATTCGTTGGAACCAAATTCTTCTAATACCGGGGGACATGCACTGATGTGGATCATCTTAACTTAACTATGTTGTGCAGGTATACAACTTATCTTTATTTGCTTAGCTTGATTTCCTTCAGCACTATTTCCTTGCAGCTTTTCTACTTTTAGTTACTATAGTACACAATACACACTTTGTTAATTACATAACTTAAAAGCAATAGCATCAAGGTATAGCATACATGTAATTCCTTTTCATGGAGAATAGACAGAAAGAGATACTATTTTTCATGTCATCGTCCAACATTTTCTCCTACTTGTCGGTTCGAGTGCTATTTTTACATGTGAATTTGATTCTATTTTTGAGTTGTGGAAGTTGCAACAAACACTTCAATAAAGATAATAAATAGAGTCATCAAAAAATGAAAATCATACTCTGTAACAGGTAGTGTATGCTCAAAATCAGTATCAAAGGCATCAAGGTCGACAATAAGTGCGTTATACTCATAATCAGCAATGAGGAAGTCTCAAGTCCTTAATCATTTCACATTTTTGCTTCAAACTTTCATGAAGATTTACATTATGCTTCTTCAGCCTACATGATGCTTTTAACTGTTTTAATAAGCTAGATGTCATATTTTAAAGGGCAATATGATCACTTATGTATCGTTTAAAAAAATTAATTCTTAATATTCTTAATTTCTGTTGTAGTTCGATCAGAAAATTCAGTTTTTTGGCATTGTATATTTTTTTCCACCAGTGCTAGCTTTAAGCAGCACGGCTAAAATCTTCCTACAAGAGCACTTATGAAACCACTGTGAAAGCCTTTCCAGCGAAAATAGATACAGTGGATTTGCTGTTGCAAAGAATTTAATGTGTTTAAACTGATACAGTAGTTCTATAAATAATACTGTAAAAGCCTGATTTTTTAGTAGCGTACATGTTGAGATATCTGTTTTAATTTTTTATTCACTATTTAAGCTGGCATGTTGTATTCTTATGGTTGCTGCTATATAACTGTGAATGAGGGGTTACCTTAATTTTCTTCTTGAGTACTAAAGTGGGAAAGAAGGGCTCTCCATTAGGTGGAGAAGGTGATTCTCCTATAGAAGCAAGAAGGGGATTCTCCTATCTTTTGGCTAGATAGAACAAGAAAGCTTGGAGAGGCTGAGAGGGGCTTATCTCCGAAATTTTTTATTTTGCTATGCTGTATAAGTGACGCTGGAGCTGAGCTGTTTAAAACAAGTTAATTTCAGACTAATTTGATTTCATTTGGTAGTTTATATGGTTGTATAGGAATAGAGTTTTCTTCTACTGAGTGCAGCTTATTATATTACTACATTTATCTATAAATACATAGTAAATTCTTGTAATAAGAGAGAATTTGAGATGAATGATATTTGAGTTGAGTTGTGTGTATTTTTTGTATCCTAAAGTTTATTCAGGTGGTGGTTTCTTTCCAAGGAGTTCTTGGAGTTGTGTCCGGAGACGGTCACCGAATCGCCGACGAGGAGTTGTCGAGCCCCTTCTTGTCCGGTGTCATTAAGCCTTGTAAAGGGAGTGTTCAATGAGTGTACATATCAATAATCACTGGTGCAAAATGAATTTCTTTTAAGGAATTTGAGGGGATGTACTTAATTTTTATTATTATCTTAATTTTCTGATTCTCTGAAAATTTATTTATTTATTAAGGGGCTGTTTGGTTTTATTCGAGGTGAGTGTAATGTATTTCAAATGTAGAGTTTTAAAAATTTTGGTGTCTTTTTTTTTTCTTTCCTTTTTAAGACAAATGAATCTAAAATAAAATTTTGATCAATTTTAAATTTAGTTTTGACATCATAAAAAAATTATCTTGATCGGGCACAAATCTCGATGCAAAAATCAAGTTGGAAACTTCCAAAATTAAAATTGAGACCATTCAAACTCCAATTTCAGAAAACTTATAGTCAAACAGAACGTCTCGAGAATACGGACCCAACGACACCAAATCCAACCTAATCCGAGCCCAAATGGGACCAAATCAAGGGTTAAAAGAGTTGTTGGAAGGTTCGAACCACAATTTAGATTACCAAACGGTTTCCAAACATAACGTGCTTATAATCAAATCGAGCGGCTCGACGAGACAAATACAATGAGCCCAAGATCACTAAATTCCAACATCACTAAGACATTCAAATGTTCATGATTATGGGATTCAACATCGGTCATCCATCCAACCACTCCCCATTTGCCCCTGATCTCCCACCCATTTACGGGCCATGCCACTCAAAAAATTTATAAATAGAGCCCCATTTTCTCTTGAAAAGGGACCCCAAGTCAAAAGAGAGCAAGAGAGAGATCGGAGATCGCTCTTGCCTCCTCGCTCCTCCTCGACCATCGCCTGAGTTCCGCCGGGCCACAACTGGAGGCCCTGACTTTTGCCAGACCACCACCTGAGGCCTAGGCTTATGCCGGACCACAACTTGAGGCACGGACTTCTGGCAGACCACCACCTGAGATCGGGACTTCTGGCGGACCACCACCTGAGGCCTGGACTTCTACCGGACCACAACCTAAGGCCCGGACTTCTGTCGGACCAACACTTGAGGCACGAACTTCTCTCGGACCACCACATGAGGCTTGGACTTTTGCCGGACCACCACCTGAGGCCCGGACTTCTACCGGACCACCATATGAGGCCTGAACTTTTGTCGAACCACCACTTGAGGCCCATACTTCTACCATACCACCACCTGAGGCTCGGACTTCTGTAGGATCACCACCTACGGCCCGAATTTCTCCCGGACCACCACCTGATGCCCAGACTTCTACCGGACCATCACCTGAGGCCTGAACTTCGGCCAGACTACCACCTGACGCCCGGACTTCTGCCAAACCACCACCTTACGCCCGGAGTTCTACCAAAGTACTTCTCTACTACTATGATCTTTCAGACCCTTATCTCCTACCGACTATGGTCCTTCCAACCTCTGTTGCCTATTATGGTTCTTTCGACCTCTATTGCTAGACAATGGCCTTTCTGACCCCTATCTCCTGCCCTTCCAACCTCAGTCTTCTACTACGGTCTTTCCGACATCTATCCTATCATTTGTGGTCCTGTCGGCCGAACAAACATGTTTATGGTGATTATTGTAACTACCACCATGTAATGCTCTCAATATGATGTACATTTGTGACATCAAGTGAGGGCCTTCTCTCAAGGAAGGGCCTCAATTGTAATCGACTGCAAATACTAGTGGATTCATTCAAATTGGGCCAGGCCCCGTGATTTTTTTCCCTTTTTAAGGGTTTCTACGTAAAAACTCTGGTGTGTCTTATGATTGCTACACCTTCTATCTTATCTACTTGCTGGATCTTCATACAATGCTAAGACGTCAAAATATATATTTATCTACCGCCGCGAATACTCTAGGACGCAATAAGTTTATAAATCATTTTTTATTTTTTCAAAGTTTATTTGAATTTTGAATTCATCACAAGATGGCTCAGCTTTCGACATTGATCGGCCACCACAGTCACCATGTTAGCCGAACCATCCACCAACTGACCATAACGATTGACCATAACCACTATATACTTCATTTATTTTACTTCAAAATAAATATACAAAATAATGACATATAGTTATTTTATACTCATCCAAATTTTTTTTAAAATTTCAAATATATTAAATTCCTTTTTAACTATATTCTACTTTATTCCAGATTATTTTTTAACAAAAGAAATAGCCCCTAGAAATAAAAACTAAAAGAGATATTTGTTGTACTCCAACTTTTTAAAACGCGTATCAACCCAGCAATAAAATAGATAAATAAATTCTTTAATAATAAAAAAAACAACAAAGTAATAAAAAAATGTCATGTGACAACGTTTTTTTTGAAAAACTCGGTACAACGGAATTTTGCCTGCAACCGAATGTTTCTCTCATTCAATCGACCGGACCAAATAAAACTTTTCTCAAATTTATGGGGGTTGGGGATCTCTTTGATTTTAAAAAAGTCAAATTTCTATATCGGAAGAAAAAATAAAATAAAATTTCCATAAAATCTATCTCTTTTTCATTTTTTCCGCTTATATATGGAGTTTCCTTCGTCATCTTCTAGAGAGAGGCATCCTCTAGCTTGTAGTCAAATGGCGACCATCTGTTCACACACGGAGACGAATTCTCTTCATGTTTCCAACTTCGAAAGTTCACCCAACGACTCCATCTTCTTTATTCATTTACTTCATCAACTTCTCGAAATATTTGATCCATATTCCCATTTCCTTTCTCTGTCTTTCATCTTGTCTAAGTTTACAAGAGCTGCAAGAAACCATTTCGAAGATATCTGAAGGTAAGCTCGAAATTTTTTCCATTTTCCTTTTGCTGATAGATTTCTTTTTGAATTTTCTCACGGTCTTCGATCAGAACTTTGCTTTCTGGATATTTTGAATTTCTTCTTGGAGGGTTTTTTTGTCGGAGAATTAAAATTTTAATTTGTTGAAATTTTTCTATAGTATTTGGTTGGTCCAGATCATGATAATTGTTTAGAAACTGCTTTGGCAATAAATCCTGATTTATTTTTGCATCCTTGTTAGATAAGATGATTTAGCTCTTGAAAGACTTTTTTTTTCCTGTTCAAGATTGAGTTTTTAAGGTGCTAATTTTATTTACGGCTTTTATTTTTAGTAATGAATCATGTAGGAGGAATTCAAATCTTTTATCATTATTTATGAGCATTTCAATATTGAAAGTTGTCAAGATTGAATTTTTCACAGTATTTTTCTTTGTGAGAATGGCTATCCTGTTAATTACGTGAGTTATGCGCGCCAACTGTTTGTTTGATTGACTGAAAGCGTTTTTGTTGATTTAAAGATGTCTCTAAAGAAGTCAAAATCTAGCCGCGCTGAAAAAGTTTTATCGGTGGCGGAGCAGCAACAGAAGGTTGGTTGTTTTTTTCAATATTTTTAACAGAAAAATAATCTTTGCATTTGTATTCAAATATCTGTTCTGATCTGTAAGTTTTATTCTAGAGAAGCTTTTAATTTGAACATGATCTCAGAACAAATGTAAATAGTCTATGATATTACCTATTTTTAGCTATAATGTAACAATATATATCCTTCTTGCTCAGATAAATGAAGTCAGGAAGCTAATAGCTCCATTATCAGATGACCTACCAGACTTCTGTTCTGATGCTTCAATATCAAGGTTTCTCAGAGCAAGAAACTGGAATTCTGAAAAGTCTAGTAAAATGCTTAAAGAAACTTTGAAATGGAGGCTTCAATACAGACCAGAAATGATTCGTTGGGTATTACCTTTCCCTTCTTTTTTCTGCTTATTTGATCTTAGTCGATGATAAGTTTATGATCAAAAGCATGGAGATATGTGCGATCATTGATTCATTTATTCTGCTTCAGCTTTTGATAAGCATTTAGGGGCTGTTTGGTAGCACCCATGATTTGATTTAAGTAGGATTTCGTAAATCCACTAAATCCGGATTTCAGAAATCCAGAGGGTCTAAATCTTGAAACTGTTTGGTAACATTCATGATAAACCCTATTCAATCCCATGTGAATGTTTGGCTATAGAATGTATTTAATGAGCGGATTCTTCCTTTCCAGCCATCATATTTCATAAATTCGGCAAAAATCAGGATTTCGAAATCTGGGATTTAGCACAAAAAGGCGGAATTTTCCGTCATCTGCGGCTTTCATTTTCCATGAGATTTGGTTTTGCATTTTAGGCCGTTTGGCTGGATTTCGCTCAAATCCGGCCTAAATCCTGCTACCAAACACCCCCTTAGTTTTAACATCCTAAAATGTTACTTTGATTTGTAGGAGGATGTTGCTGATGAGGCTAAGACAGGAAAAATATACAGGGCTGATTACCAAGACAAGTTCGGGAGACCTGTTCTTGTTATGAGACCTGGATTCCAGGTAAAATTAGTATTCCTATTAGTATTGCAGACATTTAGGTTGTAGATTTCTGGTTATAACTTTGTTTCTTTTTACCATCTAACCAGAACACAAACTCAGTAAAGGGGCAGATACAGTACTTGGTTTACTGCATGGAAAATGCCATATTGAATTTACCATCCGATCAGGAGCAGATGGTGTGGCTCATTGACTTCCAAGACTGGACGAAGGCGAGTGTATCACTAAAGGCAACTCGTGAAACAGCTCATGTGCTGCAGGGTTACTATCCTGAGAGGCTTGCTGTCGGCATCTTATATAACCCATCAAAGATTTTTGAGCCATTCTGGAAGGTATTATCAAGATTTTTGCTCCATCCTTACTTTTTTGGTAATACTATTGATGCCTAAAGTCTTGAATAAGGCATTTATGATTCCTGACCCTATTCCTTCAAGTTTGTAGTTGATGCTTCTGACTTTTAATCAAAATTTTGAAATAGCTTTCTCTCATGATGTAGGATATTAGGATCTAGAATAATTCAAATAGGATTATAATGAATATAGAATATAGATCACATATAAGTAATTAGGATTCACATATCAAAGATGACTATATGTACAAAAATTCGTCTTCTTTAGGTGTTAAATCTAAAAATGTGAGAAATTGAACAAAAAAATAATGCAATCATCTATTTAATCATAAGAAATCAATGAGAAGGTTGAACCATAAAAAAAATAACAAACAACTTGAATTTTACACTACACTTGAAATTCTAGTTTTAGCAAAGTTGACTAAAATCAAGACTCACACTTTGAACACCTATAACTAAATATGTAAGAAAAAAGTCACTAAAATAGTCAAAACTCATTAGAAATGATATATCATCAAAAAATTATCTTGATCGGACACGAATCTCGAGGCAAAATCAAGTTGAAAGCTTCCTAAATTAAATTAAGAACCATATGAACTGATCTTTTCAAACTTACAGTCAAACTGAACATCTTGAAAAGGCGAACCCAACGACACCAAATTCGAATCAATCCGAGTCCAAATGGGTCCAAATCGAAGACTCAAAACATCTTTGAAAGGTTCAAACCATAATTTGGATTACCAAACAAATTCCAAACGTGACATGCTTATAATCTAATCGAGGGCCTCGACAAGGCGAATCCAACGAGTCCAGGATCATCGAATTCCAATATCATTAAGGCATTCAAATGCCCAATAAACGGTACACTATCAAGGGAATCAATATCGGCTATCCATTCAAATCACTCTCAACTTACCATTGATCTCCCTCTTATTTATTGGCCATGCCACTCTCACAAAACTCTAAATAGATTCCTCAATCCTCATGGAAGAGGATAGAAGCAAGTAAGAAATGGAAGAGAGAGAAACTAGAATTCTCTTGCCACTAGAGTACTCCTCGTCGACTACCGTCAGACCACTGTCCGTCGCTCGACTGACACCAGACTTCTGCCCGGCCACCGATTGACGCTGGAATTCCTCCAAGCCACCGACTGACGCCAGACTTTCGTCTGACCACCAATCAACGTCGAACTTCCGCCCGACTTCCAATTATTGTTTGACTTTTGCCCAGCCACCGACTGGCGTCAGACTTCCGCTCGGACACCGATTGACGCCGGACTTCTGTCCGACCCTTGGATTTGCACCCGACTACTGACTGTTGTCAATCCTTCCGACCTTGATTACTAGACAATGGTCTTTCCGACTTTCATCCCCCACTGATTACAGTCTTTTCAACTTCCATCCCCCATCGATTACAGTCTTTCCGACCTCCGTCACCTGCCAACTATGGTCCTTCCTACCTTCATCGCTTGACAACCGTCTTTCTAACCATTGTCACCTGCTAATAATGGTCCTTCCGACCTCTATCTCTAGACTACGGTCTTTTCGATCTCTGTCGCCCATCGACTATGGTCCTTCTGACCTTTGTCATAAGATGATGGTTCTTCTGATCGACCTCCATTTCTTGCCGACTTTGGTCTTTTCGACCTCCGTCATTTTCCTACTATGGTCCTTCTTACCTTTATCACCAGTTAACGGTCCTTCCGACCTCTGTCCCCAAACTACGGTCTTTCCGACCTCCGTTGCCCGCTGACTATGAACCTTCCGACCTCTGTCGCCAGACAATTGTCTTTCTAACCATTGTCGCCCGCAGACTACGATCTTTTTGACCTCCGTCGCTAGACAACGATTTTTCCTATCTCTGTTACCTGCCGACTACGATCCTTCTGACCTCCATCTCTACACGACAGTCCTTCCAACCTTGATCATCAGACTATGATTTTTTCGTCCTCCGTCGCCCGTTAACTACAGTCCTTCTGAGCTCCATCTCTAGATAACAGTCCTTCCGACTTCCGTCGCCCACATACTACGGTCCTTCCGACCACCGTCACCCAACTACAATTTTTTCGACCACAGTCGTCCGCTGATTATGGTCCTGCCGACTAAATGAACATGCCAATAATGATTCTTCCAATTCCCACCATATATTGCACTCTATATGATGTATATTTGCTGCATCAAACTAAGGCCTCCCCCCCAAGGAAGGGCCTCATCTGTAATCAACTGCAAACACTAGTGGGTTAATTCAAAATGGGCACAGCCCCATGGGTTTTCCCCATTTTTTTGGGGTTTCCACGTAAAAACTCTGTTGTCTCTTATGAACGCTATATCCTCTCTTTTATCTGATTGTGTGTTGAATCTTCGTACAAAGCTAAGACGTTAAACTTTTTATCCTTTATTGTTGCGAATATTCCAGGACGCCACAAGAAATATAAAATTTTGCATTTATTTGATTTCTAATGATTCTAGTGCAAACATGCCTATATAAAGATAAAAGATGCAATAAAAAAATGCAATAAAAGTTAATCTTCTCAATGATGAGAATACAACAACACAACAACAACAACAACAACAACAACATCAAGGCTTTGTCCCACTACGTGTGGTCGGCTACATGAATCATTTTTCGCCATTGTGTCCTGTTAAAAGTCAAATTCTTATTTAAATCCTTCTCAATGATGAGAATATATTGTAATAATAAATAATATAGAGTCCTACCATAAATATTAATCACATGTGATAATGTTAATACGGTAACATAATAGCTCTAATAACTCTAATAATCTTTCTGTGGAAGTTTCATTCACGTTTGCATCACACTTGAAGGAATTATACATCCATTAAGCATATTTAAGATCAGAAGTAGAGATCTAGAATTTTATTAAATTAAAAAATGAATAAAATTATATGCCTTAGGTATCCATTAATAGATTTTTATTTCTAGCTTAGTACGTAAGATTGACATAAATTCATATCATGTTTGGTTTAGTGAACTCAAAATTCAAATTTTGACCATCTGGATAATAAAGTAGGGTGACAAAATAATTCTAATTTTCCAAAATTGCATTCGCACTTGCACTACATTTGAAGGAATTCTACATCCAATATGTACATATAAGATCCAAAGTAGAGATCTAAAATTTTATTAAAAACACGCTCAGGTAATGGAATGTGATGCAGTGTTATCTCTCTATTGATATTAGGTCTCCAAGCAATTCTTTAGAGATTGTGGTTTCAAGTTCTTCATGTTCTTAGAAAGCAACAATCTTTCATCATATTTATTCATGTAATCATTCGCATCTTTAGTCTCTTGTTTTAAAGATTAAACTCATCAAGCAAATGATCATGATTAGACAAAAGTTAGTATTTTCTTATAAAAGCTCTTTCATTTCAACTTATGTGAATGTGGGTTGCCTTCCTTACCCTTCCCTTTGCTTGTCCATAACCATCCAATATATTTTGGCTTGCTGAACCAATTTTTAGTACTGCTTCTAAGTGACATATTGATAGGAATCAGATCCCCACACAACAAAAACAATAATAACGAAGATAAAATGCAGTAGAAATCAACGAGAAAGGAATAGATTATGGGCTAATTTGATATAGACATAACAAACCAAGATACAAGTTGATCTATTATTCGAGAGGTAGATCAACTCTCTACAAATCCTACGTGCTGCTAGGAACAAGTCCAAAGAAGAACTACAACAAACACGCAAAATTACATAATGAAATAAAACCGCACAAACTCCTTTAATTTAAACCTTCCTACTTACCCAAATATGATTTCAAATCAATCCTTTAAAAAAAAAAAAATCATTTCATAATTCTCTCTCAAATCTGAATTCAAATTAGTCCTCTTTCACTAAATAAATATTTTCTAATTTCCTCCCAAATCTGAATTCAAATCAGCCCTCTTTCCCTAAATAAACATTTCTTAATTCTCTCCCAAATCTGACTTCAAATAAGTCTCTTTCCCTAAATAAACTTTACTATTTTTCTCCAATTTTAGTTTTCTATGATAAGTAATTAAAGTGGAATTAATCCCCTTTGTTCTTCCCACCCTAGTGAGGCCCACGGGTTTAGGCGATCCATCAATAGTCAACTCCCAAAGAGCCACCTTGTCCTCAAGGTAGAATAAAAGAAATTGTTGATGAAGCACTTGACTAATAGCACTGGACTGGAAAATGGATTGACACTAGGTCGAATGATCCATGTCTCCAACATCTCCCTGATCAATCTCTCGATCTCATCCTTCTGGATTTGGGGAGCGATATGGAGGAACACTGATAAGTGAGACTCCTTCCTTCAAGATCATAGCATTCTTGTGTTCCCACGGAGAACGCAACCCCTGAACTGGCTGGAACACCTCTTAATACTGCTTTAGGAGTAGTTAAACCATGTCTGATGCTTCTATTGTGAAACCCTTTAAATTTTCAAGATATTTTTTTGTTGACCTAAAGCAATAAATAATTATTTAAGGAGTCATAAGTCCAAATAAAAAATTGTTTTCGCCAAAAAATTTATAGTGTTGTGCTTTAATTATCCTAACTTTTTCATAATTTTGGGTATTGATGAAATTTCTTAAGAAATCGGTACCTATCGGTACAAGTGAGGTTTTGGGACCGTCAGGTGTCTGTTTTGCAAATCGATTTCACCAGAATTTTTAAATAAAATGAGTTAATTTATTAATTTTTTTCCTGTAATTTTTTTAATTCCTAAAATAATTTTTTATATATATTATTTAATAATTAAAAAATCTAAAAACAATTTTCTTATGCCATTTTCTAGAGAAAAAGTCTTCTCCCCATCTTCTCCTTCCAAACTCTCCAGCACTACCAAAAATCCTGCTCCTTCACCCTTTCCCTATCATGCCGTAGAATTTTGATACTGTAGGGATATTTATATTATGGACACTAATCATTATTACTGATTGATATTACTGATTACTATTACTATTCTTGTGACTGACACTGAGAATACT